AGGGTTTAGGGTTTGGGGTTTAGGATTTAGGGTTTAGGGTTTAGGGTTTCATTACATTGAACTCCTGAATTTGCCTGAGAAGCTCGGAGGTTGGCTGGGAACCAAAAGGGTCTGGAAGAGGGAGGTTTGCGTCGTCAATCCAAACAATGCAGTCTTGAGTCCCGGGAGGCCCTAGCTGCAGCAAACCCTAAACCCTAAACCCTAAACCCTAAACCCTAAACCCTAAACCCTAATCGCCGAACCCTAAACACTTATCAATCTTTGTTGTGTTTCATTTTGTAGGGGTTATGCGAGCGGCGGATAGTGTTGCAGTGTTGACACTCCAAATTACTATACCTCAAGCCCCAAACCCTAAACCCTAAACCCTAAACCCTAAACCCTAAACCATAAACCCTAGACCCTAAACGCTGAAGAGTCGCGGCTGTGTGCCACTGTTTCTGCTGCCTCCCTTTATCCCCTTACCCGTGCGTTGCCGCTGACTGATCAGAGCTTAGGGTTTTTATGGTTTAGCGTTTAGGGTTTAGGGTTTAGGGTTTAGGGCTTAGGGTTTACGAGAGCCTTGCGCTTGGCCTCGAGTTTGCTTTCCAGGAGGGTTTGGAGAGACAAGGGTTTGGAGAAAGAAGAAAGGGTTTGGGAAACCACAAAAAGAGAATCTCTTTTTTCTTTTTGCTGCAGCAGCTCTCGTATCAAAGTTGTCTTCCCCGAGCCGCTCGGGCCTAGAACGCAAACCCTAGACCCTAAACCCTAAACCCTAAACCCTAAACCCTGTAACTTGTTCCTTAAACGCCAAACCCTAAACCCTAAACCCTAAACTCTGTAACTTGTTCCTTAAGCGCCAAACCCTAAACTCTAAACCCTAAATCCTGTTACTTGTTCCTTAAACGCCAAACCCTAAACCCTAAACCCTCGATCTGAAATTCGGTGAGAACCCAGCGTGGAATCTCCAAACCCTAAAGCCTAGACCATACGCCATATATTGTAAAGCCTAAACCCTAGACTCTAAACCCTAAACCCTAGACTCCAAACCCTAAACCCTAGAATCTAAACCCTAAACCCTGCACCGCAAGCGCCCTTGCCCTCACTTCTGAGGGGCTGCTGCAGAGCCCGTTTGTTTGTGAGCCGGCCCCAGCGCCGCAAGCAAAGGGTTTAGGGTTTAGGGTTTAGGGTTTAGGGTTTAGGGTTTGGGGGTGACCTGTGAGGAGCACGGGGACTTTGGCTTTGGTGAGGATCTTGAGGATGGCGAGGGTTCTTTTGGTTTCTTTTGTGGGGACCAGGAGGCGAGAAAGTGGGATCGTGGGATCGATGGGATCGATGGGATCGATGGGATCGAGTGTGGGGTTTGTGGGGTTTGTGGGGTTTGTGGGGTTTATGGGATCGTCTGGGATCGTCTTCTCCCAGGGGACGAAGTAGGCTCTGTGTCTCCTCGCCTTCTCCATGGCTTCAGGAGAAGTCAAACTAATCCTCGTTTCCGTCTTTGCTGCTGTTGCTGCTGCTGCTGCTGCTGCTGCTGCTGCTGCTGCTGGGCCGTCTGCTGCTGCTGCGCCCTCGGCGGCTGCTGCTGCGTCGGGGCTGAAGACTGCGGCGCTGCTGCGGCGCGCAGCAGCAGCAGCAGCAGCAGCAGCAGACTGCAAGTCGATGTTGAGGGCCAAGTCTATTGTTTCTGCGCCCTTGGGGAGTGCTGCCAAACCCTCAAAAAGGTCTTCGCAAAACCTCGAAAAGGACTTTTGATCTAAACAACTACTAAACCCTCCAACACTCCAAATGAAAGAAAACACAAAACAGGGAATTGCCAAAAACTCCAACTCCCCCGAGCTGTACAGACACCGCAGCGCCCCGGCCTCCACGCTGCTCGCGCGCTGCGACAAACGACGGCCTGCACGCACCCAATCCCTAAACCCTAAACCCTAAACCCTAAACCCTAGGATCCTGCAGCAGCCGCCCCGTTGCACAAGCGTCAACATCCCCGGGCTTAAACCCCGCGGTCTGCTCAAGTACAGACTCGACTGTTTTCAGTGTTGTGCACTCCAGGGTTTAGGGTTTAGGGTTTAGGGTTTAGGGTTTAGGGTTTAGGGTTTAGGGTTTAG